ACAAAGACAAAGTTATTGACTTACCTGTTGATCACCTAAAAAACAATTAGGGAAAACCACAAAACTAATCTTGCAAGCTAGTATATTTTAGATCAAAAACTTACAAAATAATAGAATGTTTCCTTCCACCTATTAATAATAGAAGACATGGAAAACTGGAAAGCTAGAGAATTTCAAAATTTGGCAGATCACATGACCAGAAAAAGGGACAGAAAACAGTTCTGTGACATTAGTCTGGAATAAGATGCCTAAGTTTTTCTTCCAGTTCAGAGAGTTCTCAATAAAAGATACTTAAAATGATGCTCCTACATGAGAAACTCAAAATATTAATAATTTAAAGGGCAAAATAAAGGAGAGATGATAGGAAGCAAGAAATTATATATACATATTTCCCAAATCAAATATAAACTAGTATGGGTCACAAATATACACTAACAAAAAATAATACTAGACTAACTTATCAAGCTAACAAATTATTATTATATTCTAACTAGGGGTAAGGAACTCTTAAACAAATGGCAACTTGAAATACTTTTTCATCTGAACCTTTTACATCCATCAAAAATGTGCTCACTGATTTACTTTTAAAGTCATATTATTTTGTTTTTCCTGACCTACTTTTGGAACTGCAGTTTAAAAGTCCAGCTGTAATCCACAGTTTGGAGGAATCCAGTACAGAAATATTCTCTCTCTCTCCCTCCCTCCCTCTCTCCTTCTAAATTGTTAGTCTATGGTGTCTCCACATATAGAACCACCTTTTCATAAAAGGTTAATGAGAAAGCCAGTCAAATAAAGTCAAATCTCTATAAGCTTTCCTTGATCTAAAACATTTTTGAAAGGCAGAACAACTCAGTATAAAATGAAACCTAGGAAGGAAGTGAATAATGATAATACCGTCTTACTATGGGCTTGGTGCTACACCAGATGCTTTATTGAAGTTCTCATTTGATGCTTCTTATAACACCCCAAGAGCATTATGAACTTCTCTTTCCCCCATCTTACACCTGAGAAAACTAAAGGTTGGAGAAGCCAAAGAATTTGCCCAAAATCATATACCATTAAATGGCAAACTTGAGCCCGGGTCTTCTTGTATAGTATCTGCATGGGGGCTCTTTACCACTATGCTATATTGTGAGGGATGAATGGAGCTGGGAGGAGGCAAATGGCAATTCTTTCTCTAATACAGAGACCAGGTAGAAGCCAGGAAAGAAGCATTGCAGGTTCCTTCCTTCCAGGCTTACCAGCAGCCCATGTGCATATATACATGTGCGCGTGTGTGTATGCACACACACAGCAGATCATTCCAAACTGTTAATGTCTCCCAGCTATCTATGGGTTTTTCTTAAAGGTCACCCAACAGGCCCGTAGGGAAAGCAGGGCTTGGTCTAAAATTTTTTATATTTTCTCTCACTTTTTAAACAGTGGAAAATCCATTTGGCCCAGAGAAATGAATAGTAAAAGGAGTTCTAACAACCTCAAACCAATAACATGTAATGGAAAAAAGGCAAGAATATGGCTGGAATTTATTTTCTTTTCACTCAGCACATCCTGTCTTTAATCTGAAAGGTAAATAGGCCATGCCCAACATACCGACTCTTTTCAGGTGAAATTATCTAGGTTATAGAAACATACCACAACTATTTTTTCAATATTCCTTAGGTCATGGCTGTCAAAAATAGTGTCCAAAATAAATCACAGGCAAATATTGCTCACAAGAGAGCAAATCCACAAATTTCACTACTTTGATAACTGACTTTTGTGAACTTTCTTCTTTCACATGAATACAAATTGTTCAGCATTATCTGAAAGAGTCACAAAAAGAAAAGGAAAGTCTGAATGTTTATATTTAGATTATTTGAAGGAGAGAGAGTAAGAGAGAGAGAGAGGCAGACTGAGACTCTTTGCCATCCCTGAGATGTTTTAACCTTCACAACACAAACAATCATGCGCCACCTCTTTCTGAACCCCAAAGTACCAGCTTCTTTGGCTCTATAATATATCGCGTGATCTATGATTCTGCTCGTGATAGTAAGAGCTTTGTTCATTTTTGTCTTGTACACTCAACTTCCCTTGCTTTTATACATTTTTTCTGTATATTCAAGCTGAGATGATAGTCTAACAAAAACCATCTTTACAAATAAAACAGCCTTTAACTAGAAACTAGGTAGATTAATGGTTTGTTTGAAGCAATATTCATTATTTTTTTTTCTGGACATTATTTAAGTAAAGAGTTACCACTGTGAAATAATTTAAAGCAGACTTTCAGAACACCAGATGTGGGCAAATCAGTAGTTATTCCACTTAAAAAGGTAGCAATGTCAAATGGAAATGCTCCATCAGAAGTGAAGAAAGGTCCTCCAGATTTCCTCTTAACCACAAGATTGCTTAGTTTCTAAAAGGCAAGTTTGTATTACATCTCTCTAAGAACAAGAGGACATGGTAGGTTCCAGCCAATGTGACTATAGATCATTTCATTCAACAATCATCAAGGCTGTGGTCCATAGCATATGCTTGGAATGTGACGCACCTATTTAAAGGCTAAGTCTCCCTAAAGATAGGAAATGGGCTGGCTAACATTCAGTAGTCAAGTTGATCTCCTCATCTGGCTGTTCTGCACTCCCAGCATATACTGCACTTCATATCTGAGGGGCTGTGAAGGGTTCCAACACCTTTGTTTTGCAAAAGATAAATCAGAGGCCTGGAGATTGATCATTTGCCCCATCACACAGCTGAGCTGAGAAGAACTAGAACTGGGAGCACAGTGACCTTGGAAACCAGAAGAAGTAAAGCTCCCAGCAAAATGGCCAGGATACCCCAGAAAGGATTGGACAAAGGCAGGATGTACTAAACACTTCATCAAGTCCATAAAAATATACCAGCAAAGCACCAAACCCAGCAGAGGGGCCATTACATTTGGGCAATGGACAAGAGCAGGGATAAGGGTTGGGGAGTTCTTAACAATGCCAGTAAAACCATCTTCAAAACATGCTATTCAGGAGGAGTCTTTCTCAGTCAGTATTTGGGAGAAGTCATCCAATCCTACTTAAAAGTGGAAATTAGCTGTAGTGGCATATCAAAAAATATTACAAATTTCTTTTCCACCTTGAAAACACAAAAGATATTTGATATCTTTAATTTGAATGCAAATTAAAGCCTGGTGGTATTAGATATATTTTACAGCTTTTTTAAAAAGAAGAAATCAATCTCTGATTAAACAAAAAAAGAAAGTAACATTTCAGATGAGTTTTATTCTAATTGCAAATGTACAGACACAAGTATAATCATACACTCACAGCTTATCATTTCAGTAAATCACAGGTAGTAGAGTAATAGGAGTCTAGGGAATGTTAATGTTTATAGGAACAAAACGTTCCAAAATTGGAGTGGTACCAAAAATTTCAAGCCATGTGACTTTCTGCTTTTGATTGTTCCCTAACAATGAGGAAGTACAAATCCAGATGACAGAATAATCTCATTGTACTAACTCCTACCCTCAGATTGCTAAAGGAGAAATGAGAAGCAGTTGTGTTGTTTGTAATAAAGAACTGAAATCTACTGAAACGGTAATGCATCAGTGTTAACTCCTTATGCATATGAAATAAACCTTTGCTTGGGTGTTCTTTTCTCAACACTGATGCACAAACATGAATTCTGCACTATGAAATCTCAGAGGAAAAAAAACTGAATTCCATAACTTCCTTCTAAACACTTGTACCATCAGAGAAAATTTTCCATCCCAGTTTTCACCAAATGTTGCTTCTGACTCATTTGTTTCAAGGATTAGCAAAGGTCAGAAACATGTATGAGAAAGACAGAGAAACAATCATTTTTTGAAGGACAGTATTCGGAAACAGAGCAAGACCAAAGGAAACCAAAATTGCTTTGAAATGACAAGGCCATTTCCTCACTTCCTATAAAGCAATACTCACTGGCAAGATGAGGAAGAAGAAGAAACATAAACATGCCTCTCAGTGAATCTCATTCTTGACCACCCTATGAAAACCGTCACATCCTCTGAGACCCCTCGATTCCCTTTACCCAGCTCTCCTTTCTCCCTAAAAACTCATCACCCAATACTTTATAACTTACCTCTTTGCTACAATTTTGTCCTCTGTGGAACTTTCTTTGACAGACTATAAGCTCCGTAGAGCAAAGATATTTTGTGGGTTTTGTTTCTTTAGCTGATAAATCCTCGTGCCAAGAACAGCTCCTGGGACATGGTGGTTGCTCAACAAGTATATGTTGCAGGAGCAAATAATACTATTCTCTGCCATTTGAATCCTATAGCAATTCATCAGCCTGCCTTCTATCTTTATACCTTGATCAATCAACCTTCAAAGAAACTCATAATAAAGGTCACAGGCTGGATATCAGGCATTACACCTAAAGAGACAGGTTTGCCCCAGGAGATCCATGGAGTTCTTTTTTTTTTTTTTTTTAGTTCTTAAATTATATTTTTTTTGGCCACAGTGTTTTCTTTTTTTTTTTTTTTTAGTTTCTATTTTTTATTAGTACATGCGGTTCTCTTTTATCATGTGGAACAAAAAGCATTCACCATATTGTGGAAATATAGCAAAGAGATACGACAAAGCAAAGCAACTGTCTACTGTGTGCTTCATAGGAATGGGTAGGAATATGGAAGAAAGGTCAGTAAACAAAGTAAATTCTCCACCATTCAAAAATAGTGAGCTTCTTAGAGATGATAGTTAACTAAAACACATTAAATGTTCTGTATTTTGTTCCTTTGCTAGAACTTTAAGAATAGAGAAGTGCTACTTAACCCCTCAATAATAAATTTCATATACATATTATACTTACCAGCTATACTGGATTTACCATACAAGATGCTGCTCAAAAGAGATCCCGAAGTAGGATTGCTTTCGAAGCAGGATCACACTGCACCAAACCTTGGCCTCTCAGTAAGCCACAGACAAGTATCCTGTCCTTTTATGACTTTCCCTTTGTACTTTTCCATAATGAAAGCATCAAGGAAAACTTACAGCTGTGCAAAAGATGCACCGGCATTCCTGGAGTATGGTCATCTTGTCCAGAGACTGTTCACACAAGCAGAGTTTGCAAGTGACAAGGCGGGCAGGAACCAGGTCTCCGGGCGTCGGGTTTTCAGCAGTCATGGTGAGACAATGGAACCCACCAACAGAGCCCATCAGCCTGTCTTCAGTCTTCCTCAGACCCGAACCCTACAGAAAAGTTCAGAGCAGAAAACATATCCATTGATACAGCCATTGTTTGACCAACACATTTGGGGACCAGCTGAGCAAATCATCACCATCAATGATCTTACAGCTGATGCATTTCTGAGAACTATGAGCTGGACAGTTTATTATCTTGCCAAGGTATTCCTGGAGCTGACCTCACCTCACGGTCCTGATTCATATCAGGTAAGCTGTGGGAATTTTAAAAGCACTACAGGCAGGGGATGGGAGATATTGGTCAAACGTACAAACTTTTAGTTGGACAGGAAGAATGAATTTGGGAGAGCTATACAGCATGACGACTACAACTAATAATAGCATACAGTTGAAAACGGCTGAGGGTAGATTTTAAATATTCTCACTACAAAAAAAAATGAGTATGTGAGGTGATAGGTTAGTTAGCTTTACTCATTTCACATGTATACACAGAACATAAAAATATCACATAGTATGCTGAAGGGTATGCAATTTTATTTATCAATTATATCTCAGGAAAGCTGGCAGGGAGGGGAAGGAATCACTCTATAAACAAACATGACATTTACAAATTGTATCACTGCCAACCAATTCAAGAGGTCCAAAAATACTTAAAAGTATGGTGTCACTCAAAAAAGTTGCAAAGAATTACCATATAATCCTGCAACTCTACCCCTGGATATGTGCCCAAAACCAAAAAGCAAGAACTGAAAAGTGAGATCTCAAGGCGATATTTGTATATCTGTGTTCACAGCAGCATTATTTACAACAGCTGAAAGGTAAAACCAACCCAAGTAGGTGAATAAATAAAATGTAGTATTTACATCCCATGAAATGTTATTCAGCCTTGAAAAGAAACCAAATTCTGACACGTTATAACCTGGATGCACCTTGAAGACACTGTGTTAACCAAAATAAGCCAGACAGAAAATGACAATTGTTAGGTCAGACCTGACAGCGCATGCCTGTAATCCCAGGACTCAGGAGGCTGAGCCAGGAGGACTACCACGAGTTCAAGGCTAGCCTGGACTACATAGTGAGACCTGTCTCAAAAAAAAAAAAAATGGGGAAAGAAATGAAAAGAACAACTGCTAAATTATTCTGCTCATATGAGGTACCTAGAGTTCTCAAAGTTATAGAGCCAAGAAGTAGATCAAAGGTTACCAGGGTCAGCAGGAGGACATGGGGAGTTATTGTTTAACGGGTACAAAGTTTCTGCTTGAGAAAGGTCTGTAAATGAACATGCCTGATGGTCACGCAGCACTGTGAATGTACAGAATGTCACTGAAGTGCACAGGTAAAGTGGCTGAAATGTTGAAATGGAGCCTGGCATGGTGGTACACATCTATAATCCCAGCACTCTGGGAGGCTGAGGCAGGAGGATCACAAGTGAAGCCCAACATGGACAACTCGAGAAGATTCTCACAGAATTTTTTTAAATGAATGAATGGTTGGATGAATGGGTGGGGGCCGGGGCTGTAGCTGAATGTAAAGGCCCTGTGTTCAATCCCCAGAACCACACACACACACACACACACAAATTTGAAATGATAAATTCTGTTCTCTATTTTACCCCAATTTTTAAAATGAGAATGTAGAATGTAATTATTCATCGTGTGCCTTCACATACATTATTTCACTTAATCTTTTGCAATTGTAATCATTTTCTTAATTTTATAGATGAAGTGAGGTATTGGTTAAGTCATCTGCCAAAGTTCCCGGAGCTTGTACAAGGCGGAGCATGACACAAATGTGCATCTTCCGAGGCCAAGCCCAGTGCTGGATCTGTTACCCCAGAGCTGTCTCCTAAGAGGATGCTCTAAGGAGGTCTGGAGTGGGGAAAGGGAGAAGGAAAGGATGAAATCCCTGACTACAGCTATCCTAAGGCCTTTGTACTCATACAGAAATGAAATTTGTCTCTACACATGGTACAACTGTAGGAAAAGATATCTTTGTAGTGTAAACTTAAAATTACAACCAAAGTCCTCCACTAGATGGTTTTTAATTCAAAATCTTTAAAAGAGGTAAAATGACTATGGAAATGGTCTTCTTGCATATTCACGTTTTATGTTTGTGTTTTATATCACATCAGGAAATGTCATGTTCTGATTAAATAAAAATAAAATCCAGAGGTTCTTACTATTTTAAAAGAATGTGGTCAAATTAATAAATTCTGCTATTGAAATAATTACAAATACCTCTCCCCTTACAAGAACTAGTCTGTTTTCCTATTTTTGGCAAAAGAAATTACTTAAATGTATGGCCATTGCTACCGAGCTCCACAGTGGCTTAAATCTCAATACAGTTATGCATGCTTAATAACAGTTGTGTGTTCTGAAAAATGTGTTTTCAGGTGATTTCATTGTGTGAACATCATGGAGCACACTTCAACAAACCTAGACGGTATGGTCTAGTTCACATCTAGCCTACATGGTGTACATATTGTATGACCTATTGCTCCAGGGCTATGATGAATGAACCACAAGATTAAATCAAGAACAAAAGAAAATAACTCAATCAAGAGACGTGCTAAACACAAGATGTATAAAGTTGCTAACACAGCAGACTTTCTTAGAATAAACTTTTTAATCAGTAGAAAGAGTATAACCTAAGAGGGCAATAAATAATAAACCATTATCATGGTTGCTTGTCATCATCTATTATGCACTGTAAATAACTGTGTATGCTATGTTTTTGTATGACTAGTAGTATGGTAGGTTTGTTTACACCAACATCACACAGCACGTGATAATGTGGCGAGCCACATTCTGAAAGCTGTGACATCACTAAGCAATAGAGATTTTTCAGCTCCATTATAATCTTATAGGACCACCATCCTCTATGTGGTCCCTCATTGATCAAGATCAATGAGATGGATAACATATATAGATACAGAAGTACTAAAACGAGGGGAAAATAAATTGGATTAGATAAAAAAAAGGTCAATGAAATTTTTCCTTGTCAATTTGCCAGCATCAACCAGAAAGAATTAATGGTTACTAACTCTAGTAACCTGATGTGTCTGAGGTTTTTCACCTATTTCCTGAGTAGGAATTAAAGACTTTTGTTTGAAAAGTCAATGAAATAGAAAGCTAACCAATGACTAGGTTCCAATATGAAAAACATGTTTCCTAGCAAATGCTCAACGTCTCTCAACTGCCGTAGTCTCATCTCTACCCTCAACACTGCCTCTCCTAGTCATTCTGGATTATCTTTATCCCAAAAAGTGAAATCCCCAGTGAATAAAAAAAGAAATGTAGCCAGCAAATGCTTTGTGGGTATGGAAAATGAGAAATGACACACGCCAGACCACTCCACACCCTAAATGTGCATTACAAAAGAGCCACTGAAGGAAGCTGCTGGAAAGACCCAATCCTATATACTGCCAATCTGGGTATTCTTCAGGACATTCAAGTTTCTCATGGTCTCACCTCATATTATTTTTTAGGAGACATTAAAAAGGATAAATTTTTGGGCTTGGGATTTAGCTTAGTGGTTCCACCACCTGTCTCACAAGTGTAAGGACCCGTGTTCGATCCCCGGTACCAAAAACAAACAAAAAAAAGGATAAATTTTTAACATAGTCTTGAAAAAACAAAGACATCACTGGATACTTCTTACAAGGTATCTCTTAGAAGTACTGTGGTCTTCTTTCAATTTTTTTTTATTTTGGTACCGGGGATCAAACTTGGGACCTTGTGTTTACAAGGCAGGCAGCAGCTATGGTCTTCTTTTGAAGAACTAGCAATTGTGTTCATCAAAACTGCCTGAAATGTAACCATGTCTCGTGTCATATACGTAAGTTTTCAATCCTTGGCTTTTGAGTTACATGCTTATAGGCTGTGAAATAAAAATTATAAAAATATAAAAATTAAAATATTTTTAATTGGCTTTTTTTTTTGGTCCTTGGAACTGGACCCAAGGTTTCATGTATGTTAAGCACATACTCTACCAGTGACCTACACCCCTAGCCTCTAAATTTTTATGACATAAAAAGTAGCAGATCCATTTTGTTTTTGTCTTTGTTTAAAAAAATAAGAATTCCAATCATTCCAATAAGTGATACTTGTGACTCAGTGAAATACAGGAAAGGAGTAACATATTTCATCCCTTTGAGAAATGAACAATCTGAAATGATTCTTCACAAAGTAACTAATTTTCCTGTGCACAGTAATACCAATTCCCTACAATGATGGCTTCCAAATGTTTCTCAAGCCATGGAATTTTATAAAAACAAAACTCTTTGGGCTGGGGATTTAGCTCAGTGGTTCTGCCACCTGCCTCGAAAGGGCAGGTCCTGAGTTTGATCCCCGGTACCAAAAACAAAACAAAACAAAAATCTTTACTAAACTGTCACTATATATGAGTGAATAAGGCAGATTAGTGCTGGTTCCTAGGATGAGTCCTCCTGGGCCCTCTCCAACCTCCCAGACACCGGCACACAACCCAAGTCTGCTCCATGCACCACACAAACCAGCACTCTTGAGTTTTCACTTTAGGCAAAAATCCACAATCAATATTTAAAAAACTGAATCACACACAGACAGCATTTAATTTTTTAAAAGGAGTATCAAACAAGAAATCATCTCCCCATGGATTCATTGAAAATAGACCTCTTCAACCCTAAATAAGAGAATCCTGAAGTCCTCTCCTGAAACTCCCACACTTGAGATACTATAATTGGTTCCAGAGTTTCCGAGTAGTTACTGGTGTGTGCTTCAAGACTCACCAGTCTCAAACACATGAAACCACCAATAGCACACCCTCCCAGCAAACTAGCTAGTAAATGGCATGAAGCTCAGAAAGCATACCCACTCTGAGCGTGCGCTCCAAGCTCCTCCTGTCCTTCTCATCGGCCACTCCGTCACAAGTACCTGAGCAATTCATCCCCCTTCCTCTCCAGCTTTCAAGAAAAGTCTTCCTTCCAAAGAGATGCCAACTCACTCTTCCTGGCTTCCTGGCTTGCTCAACTTGTTATACCTCATACCTCATGTTTTTACCTAAGATAA